TTCTCGTTTTTAGGCCAGTGTGCTATCAATATAATAGATGGTTTAGTATGAGCGAAACTAGACTTATTCTCGTTTTTAGGCCAGTGTGCTATCAATATAATAGATGGTTTAGTATTGGCGAAACTAGACTTATTCTCATTTTATAAACCAATGTGCTATCAGTCTAATAGATGCTATAGTATGGGCGAAACTAGACTTCTTCTCCTTGTTAAACCAGTGTACTATCAATCTAATAGATGCTTTAGTATGAGCGAAACTAGACTCATTCTCCTTGTTAACCATTGTACTATCAATTTAGTATATACTTTAGTATTGGTGAAGATAGACTCATTCTCCTTGTTAAGTCAGTGTACTATCACTCTGATAGATGCTTTAGTATGGGCTAGGCTTGACTCATTCTCCTTAAACCAGTATACTATGTATCTAATAGAAGCTTTAGTATGGGCGCTCCTTGTTAAACCAATGTACTATCACTCTAATAGATGCTTTAGTATGGGCGACGCTAGACTCATTCTCCTTGTTAAACCAGTGTACTATCAATCTAATAGATGCTTTAGTATGAGCGAAACTAGACTTATTCTCCTTTTTAAACCAAATTGCTATCAATCTAGTAGATGCTATAGTATGGGCGAAGCTAGACTTATTCTCCTTTTTAGACCAATGTACTACTACTACTAAAAGATCATCTGATTCCATTAACTCTGGATTCTGTTGTGGATATACCCTTGGTGATGAGAAACATTATAAATCTATACAATTAAGACGTCTAACCTACGAAAGTAGTGTATCAACCTTGTTTTATTATTACATATTCTAAGTTGCTGCTTGAAACTGCAATATTGAACCTACTGTCATAGGTGATATACCCTATAAGTGTCACTCTCGGTTACACATAGTTATTCTTACATAGTATCTGTTACTGGTCGTAGGTAAAGAATACTTGAATGGGTTTTGGGCACTTAAATTTTTTCCCCGAATTATCAGCCCAATGTACCATATTTCCAAGATGCTTAACATTAATGTCTTAGACTTGCATACAGCGATGCAAGATGATATGCATACTGCAATAACCACAAAATTTGATTAGGCCTAAGACTTCTACTATATTTTTTATTATTTTTTGTAAAACGAGCAGTTACTGAAATTATTTAAAGAATGTCACAATAACTTTTTTTTCAAGACTGATGTTACAAGCGTGGCAAATTTGCAGAGAATTCATAAACAAATGTAATTTATATATTCATCCTCTTTGGGCAGCAACTACTTACAAAGAAGTTGGACTGGATTGCTGCTCCGAAGGTGGGATCACTGGAGAACTCAACATATAAACCTGGTGGTGGAACAAAAAAGATAACGTATCAAAAATTAGAGTGGAAAGTAGAACCAAAAGTAGGAACTAAAAATATTGGTTACACTCCAGGAGGTGGACAAGTTAAAGTAAGTGGTAATTCGACTTTAGATAATGGGGAGAGAAGACGTATGTGGTAAAAATAAACCTGATTAAACCTAGATGGTGGGAAAATTAAGGTAAATGCTAAGTACAGCCCATTTGGGGATGAGGGGGGGGTAACTAAAGGTAAATATAACGTTAGTTAAGGCGAGAAGGTCGAAGAGCTAACGTGAACATTATATACAATCCTGGTTAAGCCTAGAAGGTGGGAACCCTGGAGGGTGGGGAAATTAAGGTAAACATTAAATACAACCCTGGTTAACCCTGGATAGTGGGGAACTTAAGGTGAACATTAAATACAACTCTGGTTAACCCTTGGGGGGACAAGGTATGCTGATACTCAGCTATGTCAACAATGTTTAACATTTGTTTAGATTTCAATAAGAACGCATTGCTTGTAACTTGTACAGGGCAATTTCAAGTACTGGACGTATTTATCAATGTAATGTTAACAGTATGTGGTGTAACTTAAGTTTTGTGAAATAAATAAAATATTATAAGCCATGTAGCGAAACTGGAACACAGGTAGCATTGCCACTTTGATGTATTTATTTATTTATTGTTTTCTTACTTGGCGGAAAGCGGTGTTTTCAAAAAAATTTCTGTTTACTTTGAAGCCCAAAGTTGCATAATAGACTAACTGCGCTGTGTTCATCATAGGAATCTAACTCCGTTTAATAGCGTTATAAGCCTTCAAGCTTAATGTTTAGCCACCGAGAAGCGTTTTAAAAAAAAAGAGCTAAATGATTAAATAATAACGAATTTTCAAACGCATGAACTTATGAAAAAAGTATACAATTTCTAAAGTTTGAACCTTTTAAAGCTATTATGACGAAGAAAGAGCTTTCATAGAACCCTAAACACTCCTCTTTTACATAAAATAATCCGGTTAGTTCTGTAAGCTCAGTTAATGTTTTATTTGATAGCACCAATCTAAAACATTTTCACTTGTTTAGTGATCGTTTAGTGCTTATGCATAATTTTTAGTGATAGAATGCAATTTAAAATTTGTATTTTGTGTTCTTATTTTGTGGATTTTCCTGTTATACATCACTTTCTCTATTTCAGGTTTTAGTTATACTTTTATACGTTTTGAGTGCACTATATGTAATTTAGCCGTCTTACAATTCTGGAATGAAAGTTCAATCATTATTTTTTCATTTACTTCTACTTCAACTTTCAAACATGCTTGCATCTTTATGATCTGTTATCTCTAAAACCCTGTAAAAGTAATAAGTTAGATTCGTTCACTACCAGCATGAATGTTTAATTTTTCTACAGCAGTGCATGTGTTATAATATATGAATGACAATATGAAAACTGCTTAAGATAGGTATTTTTGTTCGTAAATTTAATGTATCTAGGATTATTGCTTGTGTTTAACTATAATAAGAACTGTACTGTAGGTTTTAGAGATTCTTTTTAGAATTAACAGGCTATCTTTTTTTTTATTTTGAAACAGCATGATGACCGTGAAAAGCCTGCGTCAGTAGTATGTATTCCTGTCTATTGTTTTATCTTGGTTTCTGCACGAATCATGCAAAATAAATCAATGATATTGAAATTACCAGAATTTTTAAAATTAATTAGTTCATCTGCGAATACTGTTTCTTGGTTGTCCTCTTGTATCGACTTTATAAAATTAATTTTATTCAAATAAAAAAAAAACAGGTATTTTTTACGTAAAACTTTCAGTATTTTGTAAACAACAGATTGGATATTCCGACGTAGTTCGAAGATCACAGTATCTACTTTGAAATTTTTTTACATAACTTACGAATTGAAGTTATATGTATTTATTTGATGTTGCCAGTTTTGTTGCTATTTATCTAAGACATATAATGATAGGTAAGTAAAATATTAGGAAACTTCTTGTTTTTGGCAATACATTCACATCTATCTCTCTAAATTTATAGGGAAATAATTTAAACTTATCTTTCCATGTTCTGTTATTAAGGGGTCTCTAACAGCTTAATTAAGATGCACCAACTTTTAAGAAGACCAAGAGTGCATGAGAGCGAAATCAGGACATAAATATGCAGGATTTAAGGTGATATTTCGAAAACACCTTCTTTCAATGTATTATTCAGAAGTGGCTAGTATATATATTGTACAGAATGGATTCCTTTATCAATTACCTTTGAAAAGTACTTCTTCTGGTACCTACCGGATTGTTGTAATTTCTCAATATGTGACAGCACGTGCCATGATGATTTACTAGCGAACATTTTAAACGATGCTCGGAGGTTAATGATTCGAAAAGTTTCAACTGTTTTTAGAAATATTTTAAATGAAACCGCTTTTTATTAATTGAAGAAAATGTAACCTTCATAGATTACTGGCTATAAATCCGGAGATCAAAATATGTCGTTTTGTCTTCGTCTGCCTCACGTGTTTTTATTATGGCACACAAATTAACTGCTTTATTAAGCTCTTCATACATACGCACATGTAACTATTTATTTTCATATGTAAAATAGCTCGACCACTTGATACATCAGCTGATCCCTGTCAATACACAAATTGTACTCATATATCATCGTTAGGCTCCGAATTTCAAAGAAGCTGACTTTTTAGCAGAAGTATGATTGATTATCAAAAATATTTTTCTTGATCATATGTTCAAAGACATCTGTCATCACAAGCCAACAACAATTGCAATCAAAATCGGACTGCGTGTGTTACAAAATAAAATTAACGACAATTGCTGAGGTCTACCATAGGAAAAGTGCAATAGCTGCCAAATTGTATTCTAGTTTACTGATTCCTTCGACAGTAACCAAGACTCAACTATTTCCAACCATGCGAAAGGCAAAAACTGTCATATAGAAGCCAACAATTGTTATTTAAACCACTTATCTAAAGTGCAAACAAAAAATAGACATTTTTAGAGATGATTAGAGTGCAAATATCGATAATGATCGATTGGAAGTATGTTTGTGGTGTGATGAATCGCATTTTAACCTTTTCTTTATTGATAGGCGAGAACTCTTCCTGTACGATAATGCAATAATTATCGCTTCTCATATTACTTAAGATTGATTCGAAAAACATGAAGTCACTTTTATCAAATTTCTTGGCCAACACAATCACAGAATCTCAATGCAAATGATAATCTATGGGGCAAAATTGAACGTCGCATTTGCCACTGTAGATGGGCTACACTCGAATTCGAAAACCTTTTAGCGACAACGTCATGATGAGTCCAGGCTATTATCGCAGTAAAAGGCAATCCAACCTGGTTCTAATAAATTGACCAGCCTGTATATAACGGTTAATTTCATCATTTTACATTGAGCTATGACCATGAAGAGAATATACTCAATTTACCTTCATGAAACAACTCACGTGTAAGTTTCTGACCAAACATTAAGATGATATGATACTATACATAAATTTATAGGAAGAAATAGAACTGTATTCTTTTAATCAGGATTGTGTGTGTGTTAATTTGTTGATTTCCACCTTTTATTCTCTTTATATATGAATAAACATTAAACAAAGTCAAATGTTTTATTTTTATTAAGATTGAATCTCGAAAGTTAGAGTGGAAACAGGCTTCTTCCAAAGTTGGTTCAATGGACAATGTGAAGCATAAACCAGGAGGAGGTCAAGCGAAAATCAAATCACATAAACTGAATTTCAAGGATAAGGTTCTACCTAAAGTAGGCTCACTCTCATCGTCTGAGAAAACCAGTAGTCAAGGCTCAGAAACTAAGGTAAGGTCACTTCTCGTTATTTTCAGTTTTTTGTTTTAACAATTGTGGTAATACATTGTTAAACAACATGAAATGGTAGTTCTTTTTCATAAACAAAGCAACTATTTTTATTACGTATATTACTTTGTTAAAGTTATTCTGATAATTATGTTTTATTTGTTGTATTAATAAGTTTAATAATATGGTGTACTAGAGCCCTGTTCCTTCCTCTTCTCCTCAACCGGATGAGCAGCCACCACTGCCACCAGTAGATGAACCTCAGGGTGATGAACAACCAGAAGAAATCACAGAAGCAGGTGAACAAGAAGCTGATGTTACAGAACAAGAACCAGAAACCACAGAAGGTCCTGAACCAGAAGCTGAAGAAGCAGCACCAGAACCAGAAACCGCAGAAGGTCCTGAAGCTGAAGAAGCAGCACCAGAACCAGAAGAAAGCAAAGAACCTGCACCTGAAGAAGCAACGGAAGAGCCTACAGTTGAACAAAAAGAAGAAGAGGAAGCTACTGAAGAAGCACAAACTGAAATCACAGAGGAAAGTGCACCAGAAGCGACAGAGGAAGCCCCACCAGAAACGGAAGAAGAAGCTGCACCGGAAACGGAAGAAGAAGCTGCCCCGGAAACGACAGAAGAAGCTGCATCCGAAGCAGTAGAGGAAACTGCACCAGAAGCAACAGAGGAAACTGCACCAGATGCAACAGAAGAAGCTGCGCCAGAAGCAACGGAGGAAGCTGCACCAGAAAGCATACGGAAAGCTGCACCAGATACAACAGAGAGTGACGCATTCCTGGAAAATAAGTGAAACTAAAGATAGTTATACTACTGATAAAATCCTTGCAGGGTGCAATGTTCATTGTATGGTGTAAAAATAATGTGTTTGTAAACTACTGTTAAGAGAGTGAGACAATAACTCTTGCAAATTCACTTCTACTTCATGTGTCTGTCTATGGACGAATTCGTATTATTTTGCTTTCAGGGTTACGGAGTTTGAAATTTCGGCGTAAAAATGTAAATGTCGCTTTTTTATATTTACATATAGAGTTTTCTTAACCTTGTCCTGGGCAAGTAATAAATATCTGTTACTTTAAGAAAGATATAACATTATCATTGGTTGTAAAGTTGTCTTTCCTGTTTCATCTACTAATATGGAAAAATAAATTGATGAACACAAATATCCACGAATTTTCATAAATGGTAGTTTGTTTTTAAGACTGCTTCCAACTTATGAAAACATGTCGCATCGTTATCTTAAACAGAATAAGTTTTCTTTGCAATATGAATAACGTAAAATAGTTTGTTTATAATTTAAAAAGCAATCGAAATACTTAGAAAAAAACATGGCTGGATAGTAACCATAATTACCAAATACATATGCTGTGTTTAGCCTTAATGTTATTCATATTCGATTGTCCGATATGATATAGTATCGTTAGGAAATCAACTATTTCGAAATGGGTTCACCGTATTTTGCATCTAGTTACACCGTGCACCAAATCTAATTCTTATAGTATGTAAGGCAGTATCTTCAACTGCTGTTGAGAAGGCTTTAGCTCGTGTAAAAGCTTAAATAGACCTGTTGTACTTGTTGTGTTGTATGTTTTGAAAAACTTGAAAGTTCGCCTATAGTTTATTTGGGAAATATGTGCCTGTGTTTGTGTATGTAATTTTTTAAAGCATGTAAATGTGTCATAGGAGCTTTGCGTCAGAAATGGTAAGAAACTATTTTCTATGCCCAAAATAATATTTTCCCCTGTTTAACGTTTAGTGTCCTGCATGATATATAAGACAATAAATGTAGCACAGTTATTTGTTGCTTTTGAAGACTATATACTTACTAGTGATTATGTCTGCAGTCTAGAACCCCAAAGAAGAAATCAAAAACAAGCATATAAAATTAAGACACATATTTTAATTATTTAATGTTTTCAAAACAATTATAAAGGTAATGCCATTACAAATCCGCTACCTGTTACATTTATCAGGTTCGCAGACATACTCGTGTAAGTGTGATGATCCTCAAAATGAAAAATGTAGTTTCGTCAGTTATTAATTGTTGTTGTTTTCGATTACCGTAAGTGCCGAATGCTGGAATACTTGTTAAGAGTTTAATTTCTAAAAAATGTCTATTTTTTCTCTTAGTCTATGTTGGAGCTTAATACTCCAGCTATAAACTACAATGAAGTCATATCTTTTGTAGATTTAGCTTCATTGAGGAAGTTATACAATCGTGCCTGGATGTAATGGCTTTAGAATGCGATGTTAAAACTGTACAGTTATTTTTAAATTGTCAAGCTAATGGTAAGTGCATTCGCAAAGCAAATGAAAAACTTCTTGTTTTAGCACATCCTGTTTCTCCAAGGTTTGAGAATACTGGCGTTTGTGCTACAAACACCACTTGTCTTATTGGTATGAACAGCATCTATCAGAAAAAGTAACGGAATTAAAAAACTGGTTTAATAAAACTTTTTTGATCGTTAATGAATATATAATGTTTGGACAACTTCTGGAAAAGACAAGATATATTTTAACATCTATATAAGGGTCATTTTGAGAAGAAAAAACATTCAGATTAAAGCTGAACGTCCTTTTTCTACTCTTGCTGGTTACCTGGTGATAATTTTTTAAGAAGTTTGAGTTTAGTTTTTACAAGCGCAGAAGCTTTTCTGACAATGGAATATTACTTGACGTGGAATAAGCTTGCCTCGTGCGCTGGCTACACTACGTAACTGTGTGATAGTATCAAAGAGAATTAGGATGATCCAACGTTTAGTGATAGGTTGTTATGATTTGGTTTACAGCATCAAAACAAGTCAGATATTAAGCATAGGCACTGTTATGAGTTTAAAATGTTGTATATTAGCAAAATAACGAAGGTGACTACCAACTTGCAAGGTTTAAACTTCACAGAATATCGCATTTCTGGGGATCTTCACAATAGTTAAGGAAGATTTCGACATTTAATGAACTTGGATCATTCAGTGCTCTGAACTTAAAAATACTTCAACTAGAATATCATTGTAAAAGTTTCATTAATGATATTAATCTGCTTGTTTCTTGATATAAATGTGCTGAGTTATCAATGGCAAAAATAATAAGATTTTCATAACTTGTTTTCCTCTGTTTCTTAATAGGAAAGCCGAGTATCTATAATAACATATTTCAGGTTTGATGGATAGGAAGAAACCCTACGTCAAATTTCTAAAAGTAATGTTATCCCAGAACAAATAATTTTACGTCTGCAAATGAAAAGTCCGTGTGACAATTACGTCAATCTTAATTTTGATCGAAGGTCATGTAACCATTTAAAGAAGTCAATAAACGAACGGAAATTTGTTTTCATTAGAATATGTGCAGTTGGGACTAAAGAGTGAAAATATCTATTTTTATTTTATATTTTTGTCAAGAAAACGAACACATAAAGTGTTTGAGTTATAATATATTCTTAACGACGGAAATTATCTTATGTTATTATTTGCCGTATATATTTATATTTGTATTTTTAGACTAATTTATTTTATTTGTGAAGAATTTAATAATTTTCTATTCACATAAGATCTAGCAGAATTTGTCCTCAATTGGTTAAAGCTATGAGAAAGAGATTTTTATTTTCTGAATTTATTATATCGAAATGATTATTGAATTCATAACACTTTGTGGTTATATATCGCTACAATGAGAAGAATGTGTAGGTGATTGCATCCATATGAGAAAGTAATAAGTGTATAGTCTTTCAACACTTAGAATTGTCTGTCCAATAATAACCACCTTGAGAACCGGATGCAAATTACAAAAGACTTGTTTGCTTGGCATCGTTTGTTTCTAATTGTGTACTGGGTTCTTTGAGTTAAGACACGTATCTGTATTTTTATAACCTTCCAATAAACTTGCAGTGTGAAATAACTGGGTTGAGTTATCCTTGTGACTTTGTCACATTTGTTTTTTTATAAAATCTTTCTCTTCTTCATTGCCCTTTCATCTCGACTTGTTAGTATACACGAAATTATACCTATGTTTTACGTTTCTAAAATCGATTAGATTTTAAAGCTTAGTTTATAGAGAGAAAAATGGAAGTAGTGGATATTCCACTACTTCTCATTAGTGTAAAGATTTTCCAGACACAAGTGTTTCAATTCTTGCCAAGTTTATAAATAAACAACTCTCTCAGTGCAGGATTTATAGATAAACTAATCTTCCAGTGCCACGTGTATAGATAAACAACTCTCCCATTCCCAAACAACTCCCCAATATTTAGTTTATACATAAACAACTCTACCAGTTCTTAGTTTATAGATAAACAACTCTTCCAGTGCCGGGTTTATAAATAAACAACTCTCCCATTCCCAAACAACTCCCCAATATTTAGTTTATACATAAACAACTCTACCAGTTCTTAGTTTATAGATAAACAACTCTTCCAGTGCCGGGTTTATAAATAAACAACTCTCCCAGTACCAGGTTTATAGATAAACAACTATTATAGTGCCAGGTTTATAGATGAACAAGTTTCCCAGTTCCGGGTTTATAGATAACAAGTCTCCCAGTTCCGAGTTTATAGATAACAATTCTCCCAGTGCCAGGTTTATAGATAAACACTTCTCCAAGTGCCGGGTTTATAAATAAACAATCTCCCAGTTCCGAGTTTATAGATAAACACTTTTCCAAGTACCGGGTTTATAGATAAACAAGTCTCCCAGTTCCGAGTTTATAGATAACAATTCTCCCAGTGCCAGGTTTATAGATGAACAAGTTTCCCAGTTCCGGGTTTATAGATAACAATTCTCCCACTGGCAGGTTTATAGATAAGCACTTCTCCAAGTGCCGGGTTTATGAATAAACAATTCTCCTAATGCCAGATTTATAGATAAATGACTCTCCCAGTACACGGTTTATAGATAAACAACACTCCCAGTGCCACGTTTATAAATATACAGTACTTCCAGTGCCGCACTTATAGATAAACAGCTTTCCAGTAACAGGTGTATTGATAAACAACTCTCTCACCGCCAGGTTTATAGATAATTAATTCTCCCAGTGCCACGTTTATATATAAACAGCTCTCCCATATTTAATTCATACAAAAATACCTCTCCCAGTGTTTAGTTTACAGATAAATATCTCTTCCAGTGCCAGGTTTACAGAAAACAACTCTCCCAGTGCCAGGCTTATATATAAATAGATTTTCCAGTGTCAGGTTTATAGATAAACAATTATTCCAGTGCTGAGTTTATGGATAAACAACTCTGCCACTGTCAGGTGTATAAATAAACAACTCTCCCATGTCAGGTATATAGATAAACAACTTTTCCAGTGCCAAGTTTATAAACAAACAGCTCTCCCAGTGCCAGATTTAATGATAAACAGCTATCGCAGTGTCAGGTTTATAAATAAACATCTCATATGAAGATATACTTCTTTTGAAAATTATGGTATGTCTAACATAATTTCATAAAATTTATATATTTTTAATTTGCTATAACTGTGTTTTTAATTAGTAAACAGTATTCTGGTTGTTGTTTTATAAATAATTATTTTAATTGCAGTCCTATTTCCTAGGTGGCGTTACAATTACACCATTTTGCCGGTCTATGAAAATATCCCATTCATGGTAATCGCGGATAGGGGAAAAAATCACAAGACTAGCAATCATTGAACATTCTGCAAATGTGAGATATCACATGTAAATATAAATAAACAGGGTAGTATCGACATTTATTACCACATGTATTACATTCAGAATTCATTATTGTGTTTTTACTTAAAAGTAAATTAAATTAACTTTCTACATTAAACTTGGACTTGAATAGCCGAATTTCTATTAATTTTGATTTGTTTGATTTTAAGCACAAAGCTGCGTACCTGGGTGTTTTCGATGTGCCTACCGCACGAATTGAACCCCGAGTCATAGTATTATAAGCTCTCAGGCTGACCGCTGATCCACCTGGGGACAGGGGGGCATTAACCCTGGAAATCCTATTCTCGCCATTTGCTGGACATTACATTTCAGTTTTTAAAAATGGCATTTCCTTATTTTAGAACGCATCATAATTAACTGCGTCCTCGTATGACACTGTTGCTTGTTATTATTGTGCATCTACTGTATCTACTAGAAATAGAAAACCAAAGTGTCGTGAGGTTATTTTTATAGTACTGACTTAACCAGCATTTGGCCTTGATCAAAGTAATAATCATATATCACCATCGACCAAGCATTTTGCTCCCTAACAAAACTCAATACGTTAGTTCAGTTACAACATTCAATCTTGGTTGAAATTCTATTGTGTATCATTCGCTTACAAGACTATAAAGACTCAAAAGCTGTTATAATTCTTTGTTTTTGTGCCAAAATAACTACGTAAGGAGGAACTGAACCCCGGAGTTTAGCGCTGTAAGTCCGTAATCTTACCTTTGATAGACCAGGGGATATGCTCAAAAATAGCAAATGTGGTGAACACTACAATACAAATAATTGAAATTGATAATAAATAGTCTAAACTATGGGTTACAGGCAGACTGCAACTGTTGCTATGTCTTTATATCATTGCATATGTTGCATATTTAGCAATAGTCCAGCAGATTGGAGCAAATATGTGAAGAAATTGTGGTTTTTTTATACTAAAAGCACCATATTTTGCACATGTATATAGTTTGGCCTGCTTATAACTATTAGATATGGACAAATGACACTTTTCAACATAGCAACCATGAGTTCTCAGGATTCAGACTGATACTGGTGTTTGGTTTATAAACTCATACCGGTCACTGTTTTTTATTATAGGTAGGCCATGAACTAATGATTAAATCTGACGTTGAAATTTTGTTTTTAATGGCCAATATTTTCAGAATGACAGCCGCAGATCTGTAAAAAAATATTATTGTCAATAATTATTAAGCATTATACATATTTAATATCATTATGCATACAGAAGTGCAGAAAAAAAATTCAAATATATATGTATATATATAGTTAGTCTTTTTGACACTTTGGCTAGTTGTCTTCCATCTAGTCTAACATTTCAAAATTCAGTTGTTAGGAAATAGTGTGAACAACTATTTTATTGTTCAACTTATGTAATGATATGCAAAATAATTATAACAAACTAGAAATGATTGGAAAAGGTTGTTGAAAATATGTATAAACAGTAAGGTTGTTGAAAGTTTCAGGTACATAGATCGTATGCACCTTGACAAATAGTGCACGAGACAAGTAAGTTATGGCTTGGTGTTTTCAATTCGAACGATACCTTAAATACACATGTGTTAAAGAAGAACCTTAGTTTAATTTCATAATAAACTTTTATTTAGCATTCGCAGACGAGTAGAATTTTAACGGACTTTTGTAAACGTATTCTGATTTATCTACGTCTCAATATGTGTTTGGATAACAAACACGTACATGTAATTCTATAAGCAGTATTGCATGTCTAAAAAAGAACCATCCATCACTCTCACTCTACAGTAAGTGATACTGGAATTAAACTTCTGAAATTCGTTCTCTTAATCAAATACCATTTTCAGAAAACTTTCGAAATAGCTTTATATACACAATTCTATATTCTGAAACCCTTGTTTGAGAAAATATAAATGTTATATATCAAAATTAAATCATCCTAGCAACAAAAATCAAACATAAGAGAAACAGTTTTTATCGAAACTCGGCTCACATCAACCATTGTCCTCACTTTTTCTTCTCGTCTTCATAATAATCGTCTTCTTCATAATAATCGTCTTCTTCATCATAATCGTCATCTTCATAGTCATCCTCCTCTTCTTCTTCAAGCTTCTTGCTTCTATTTTTGTTCCTGTTTCTTCTATTCTTGCTCTTCCGTTTTTTCTTCCGTTTCTCTTCCCGCTGCTCTTCCCTGGACAGGGTGGTAGTTTCTAAAAATAGTTCCTCGTTTCTGTTGTAGTGCATCTCTGAGTTTTGGCAGTCCACCGTGTTCACGAACCTGCAGGTAAAAGTTGTCTGATCATACAACGTGTAGTTCGGACACAAGAAGTCGTATCGTTGACCTCCGAAACACCAGTGAAACAACTGAAAAATACAAAACAGCATTTCATTAATGTAGCCATTTTTCAGTGCAATCAAAAAATATATACATACTTATTTAACCCAACTTGTCGGTTTAAAAAAATTATAATGTTGACAAATTCAATATAAAACGAAACATTTCCGACAAGAAGTGTCTGAGCAAATGATATTCTATATGAATATTGAAAAACTCTTTTTAATTTCAAATACTGCCTTTTTTTACCCAAGTGACAATAACATTGAAAATTAACGTCAACTGCATAGGAAACAGTTAACATCTTTTCTAAATTCATTGTTTTAGATTTATAAAGGACGCCGGATAGATCTGTGATAGAGCTCTGGATTTCGGAGCTGGGGAGTTTGGTTTGAATCTCTGCTATACCACAAACTATTTTAAGCTATAAAAGTGAGAGTTAATTCATTGGTGATGATGAGTGGTAGGATGCTGGTGACTAGCTGCCTTCCTCTGGTCAGTATTTAAAAATTAGGAACGGCGGCAGTGTAGCCTTATATTAGCGAAAAATTAACATTTGTCATACGAGAGAAGAGATTCTCTGGTTTCGTTTCTGAAAAAATGAATTGTTTTGTGATGTATAAAAAGATGTTTTCAGTAGGCAGATCAGGTTTGTTTTTACACAGAACTGAAATAATAAAGCAAATTAATATAATTTTAGAAAGAAATTAACATAAGTTTTGATAGAAAATAATGTAAATTAACATACTTTTAGATAGAAGATTTAACAAATTAACATAATTTTAGATAAAAAATTAAACAAACTAACATAAGTTAAGATAGAAAATATAGCAAATTAACATAATTTTAGATAGAAAATTAAGCTTTTTGACGAGTAAGGTAAATAGTTGTCTTGTAGCTATGACGTTTACTCTTAACACTGATATTTTGATTGAATATATACACATAAACCCGATATAATCGCTATTGTGTAAAGAGCTCAATATAGTAGGCAATGCGCCTTTTCATAGCTTTTCAGTTTAACTCTCAAGTTACCTTTGACTTGGATACGTTTAGTGACTGTCAACCAATGAAAATACCCATCTTAAGATATTTAAAACATTAAAAAGGAACATAAAACGTCAAATAGTTGCACAATAAATAAGCCTTTATTGAAAACGGGTCACAAATTATTTATTATGCAACTATTTAACGTTGTATATTCATTTTTAATATTTTACCTATATACAAGTACCGCTTAATACATTTAATGTTCCGTCTTAATTACGTTTGAGTGACTATTTTTTGCGACGAGGTTGAGATACATGTATATAACTAAAGTTAAAAAAAAAACATGTCACAGGGAAATAATATTATAATAAGCGGTTATAATCGATTATGAAAATTCATAATCGAACGCTTGATCGTTTCACCCTAACTACCAATCTTCAATTACAC